TATATCACAATCGCCTCCATCAATACCGAAAAGACAATTTCTTAATTTCTCATGCTAGTAAAATCTCAAACCGATGCTGAAAAGTTTCTAAACACTACCGAGCTAACCGGTATATGCAGAGTACAGTGTAAGCTCCACGAGGCCCTCAATTTTGTGAAAGGGACAGTTTATGCCCCGTACCTCTGTGACATTCACGAGAAAGAAATCGTCGATATACTTTAATCACAAAAAGCTACGGAAATTTAAAAATTTATGAAATCATAACATAACATTACTAATAACATTCGAACTCTATAACCTCCCAACTAAAATCGAAATTTCCTGACACTCGGTAAAACTTCGCGAGTACATACCAAACCAAAACAAGCAGCCAAGCAACAAACTCAAATCATAAAAAATCAACTTCACACAATAATAATAATTTAAACACCCATTACTCTGACGATACTATGAGTAATTCCTAGTTTCGTCAATCCCAAACCACCTTAAGCACCAAAACAAATAACATCCATTAGCTCTTCCCACTTATGCCCATTACACTAGTACAATGGAACATGAATGGTTACTTTAACAATTACCACGAACTACAACTTTTGATAAACGATACCAACCCTGATGTTATTTGCCGTCAGGAAACCCATATTAATGTCAACTTATCGAATATTGCCTATCCCAAGAAACTTACTGGATATTTCTATAATATTAGCTCTAATACCTATGCCAAACAAGGTGTTAGCATACTTGTACGTAAATGTATTCCCCACAAGCCCATACCAATCAACAGCAATACCTGCTCTTTATGTATTGAAATCCTAGCCCATCCCAATATCTGTATTTTTAATACATATAGAGTTTACCTCCTTCTCAATTATTAGTAGCCAACGAAATTCTAAAAATAGTAGATCTTACTACCATAACAATCCTATATGTGGGAGATTTCAATGCTTGGAGACCATTGTGGGGGTCACCCTCGCAAAACTCTAGAGGTCTCCAAATAGAAGAAGTCATATACCCATCATTCCACTCACAACTCTTTCACGGCTATTGATCTAACGTTAGCCTACGCATCGCTGTTCCCTTTTTGTATGTGGTCTGTAAAAGACTCTCTATACGGAAGCGATCATTATACTGTAAAGCCACATATTCAGTTTTAAACTAATCCCAAAAACTTACCACCATCTCCAAAATATAAAATAGATAAAGCCAATCTGTATCGCAGCAATTGCAAAGTTCACTCTAATTTCCCTGCAACAAACGACTTAAACCTGTTTGTCGCCAAAATAATAAAAGGAATCAAAGCCTCAGCTAATGTAGCAATCCCACAAACCAAACCCTCTCTACATCCGCGAAATGTTTCTTGGTGGAGCAAAACTCTGCAAGATTTAAGGCAACACAAGCAATCCCTCTAGCACACCTAAAAACAAACTCAGAGCACCGCTGCCCTGATTTCGTACAGAAAATCTAATGCTCTATTCAAATATAATTCCATAAAAGCAAAACGGGAATCCTTTGAAAGATTCACATCTAATACCAAGAAAACTTGGTCAGATCTAAATCGTTTAATAGGAATTTTTCCCAAATAACCTCAGAACAATTTAATATAACAACGAAGATCTCCAACACTGTGCGGATATAAGCGATGCCTTTGCGAACTTTTGGTCGGACTACTTTAAGGACAACAACGTCCCACACCAATACAAGACTCGTAACGAAGAAATTCATTCTCAGGAATACACACCCACCGAACTGTCAACCGACTCCACAGACCTTGACTCCAATTTCACTCTTAGTGAACTCGAATATGCCCTTCAGTATACGAAAGGAAAAACACCCGTTATAGACTGAATTTCATATATAACAATACTCTATCCAATTTCTATACTCTCCACAATGGCATCCCACAAGGATCGCCACTCTCTGTGGTATTGTTCATAATCGCCTTAAGACAAGCAAATTGAATTGTCAATTTATGCAGAAGATGCCATAATTTTTAGCAAATGTCAGAATACCACTACACTAAATAATAAGTTTAAAGAAATCCTTGAAGAAATCCAAATATGGGAAAACAACTCCGGTGCGACTCTTGCTGTAAATAAATGTAAGCTATTTCATAAAACAGCGCTGTACATACCCACCATTATCGTACAATAACGTAGACATAGAACGAGTTCCTTTACTTAAAATTCTTGGCCTGACAATTGATGAACGACTCATATTTAAACGACACTGTAACGAACTTAGGATCAATCTTATCAATAGACTAAACATTATTAAATTCTTAACTTCTAATCGAACCCTTCATCCATCGGAAAACACTTATACAAGCAACTAGAGCTTTGTTGCTGTCCAAAATTGGGTGGTGCGCATCATCGAACTTAAAAAAGTTCTTACCTTCTTATCATTCTGCTGTCAGACGTAGCATTGGCACATTTCCAACGACCCCAATTAAATGCATCCTAGCCGGATATTAAAACCAGAGTCGCGCAAACTACCTTCAAATTAATACCAAAACTCATGTGCTCAACCAACTGTATTTTGATGAAGGTCTTTGAAGTAGCCTCGAAGCATCGAATACAATTTAAAGTCCAATCCACGATACGAAGATGTATAACCTTTATCAAGAGACACAACATAGAAATGCCTTATCGCTGGAAAAAAGTCATTCCATCCCCCCCCTAGGAAATTACGCTCCACCGACACAGACACTACACTTCGAGATTTTCAAAAATCAAGGACACCAATCACAACGTTTAACCAGCTATTTGAAAAAGTTACCCACAAATAGGAAATGGCTTTACACTTATGGTTCAAAGTCCGACGCCACCACCACCTTCTCAGTGGTAGACAAAGAAGGCTTAATTGTTTCATGGGGTCAGCTACCTCACCACTTCTCCGTTTTACTGCAGAAGCAGTAACTATTATTAAGGCAATTAACGTTGCTCTCGAACTTAAGGGAAGATATATCATCTGCAGTGATAGTCTGTCCACGATGCAAGGAGTCCAAAACTCTTGCAATAGCAACAACCTGTTATCAGAAATTCGTCACCTCTGCATCAAAAACAAAAGCAAAATTAAGCGTTTATGGGTCCCGTCTCATGTAGGACTAGATGGGAACGACTTAGCTGACAAAGTTGCATAGCTAGCTGGACGAGCTTCGTGCCACACAATCATTCCTGGAGTACAACAGGACATCTGGAAAAACATCAAAAACATATTGCTGGACATCGAACTGGAAGACTGGTATAAGCAGTTTAATCCTGGCAAAAAAGGACATCAAGTTTCCTACTTTGATCAACAGAAGGGAATGCGCCATTTTCACTTGGTTAAAAACTGGACACACAAATCTCACGCACAAACATATCCTCAATAGTGAAAGGCGGCTGAACTGACCTAACTGCGGAGCTGAACTATCAGTCCAACATCTACTAGATACTTGTGGTCACTACCAAAACATCAGAATAAACCTATTCGGTCTTACCCCGCCCTCAAAACTATTATCTGACCTTACAGCTTCTAACTGCAATCTAATATTATCTTTCTTACGCATATGTAAAATTATACATCAGATTTAAATATTATATCTCAAATACAAATAAAGAGTTTTATCAATTGTCGAGTCGATGGCCACAGTAGCTAGTTACTCCTTTCCCTAAATTAGTTATTATATTTTAAATGTAATTTATGTATGATAGCTAATACTGAATAAAAAAATATATGTATATAATATTAAGCACTTTCATTGCACTTAAACTTGTTTTACTAAGCTTATAACATTTTAACATTTTGCTTACGCTGAAATACCCAATGAATATTTTGCTCTCTCTTTCGATGCTATTCTGAGAGAGGACATATAGAGCAAAACAAAAAGATGAATAAGTTCAAATAGCTAGACCAATTATAAATAAGAATTGGTACATTTAAAATCAAAATTTTGACTTCGATTTTTTTATTTATGGCCTATGGAACCGCACACTGTGCGACCACGACTTATGTCGTTTCGAGATAAACGCAGTTTCACGTGCAGTGGTGTATGCCTGCGAGCGGACGCTTTATAAAACGCTGCCATTCAACAACAATTTTAGATACGACCTGGCCGCTTTCACAGGATGTTTTTAAAATTGTAATATGTCGAAAAAAAAGTTACACTGGTATAGTCCCTAAAGGATTTTTTATATGAAGTTGCTAAGCGTTTATAAGTATAATAATTAAGCATGTAAAAAAATGCAAAGTAATGGTCAGATCTAAATAATATTTTTCATACATCTTTTTTACAAATACTTGCGGCTGAGCGAAATGTAATGTACAAAACTTTAGACGCGTTTTTCTCACTACTCACTGTCGGTGCGTAACGTAACCCAAAATATAATGATCCGATCTAAACGAAATTTTGCACACACATTTTATACAAAAATACCTACGGTTGAGCAAAAGTTTTTATTTAAAATTAGTTTTTTTACATGCAATTTCTGGCGCCCCTCTGCCGCGTGTCTGCCTCTGCTCAGCCACTGATCGGCCGCACCAGATTAGAGAGAGAAAAAGAGAAACCGAAAGAACTGTTAGCGGGGGGTGGGGTGCTGCACACTCTTAGCTTTAAGTGTTGGCTATGCAGTTCGATAGATGGCGCCTCCTAGACTCCGATTGTTTTGTGGGGAAATATTTAGTTTGAAAATTGTAAGCTGAGTAACAGGTTGCTAATAGTTAGGGAACTTGACTATAGCCTTCTATCTTTTTTTTATGTAAAATGGTAAAACCGCGCTAAGAATTGAAAATCGCATATTTTTCATTTCAATTTCCTTCATCCCCACAGTAAACTATATATAATAAATAAATCAATATTTTTTTTAAATATCACTGTGAATCCACCCTTTACGCATGGCAAGACGCCACTTTTTTAAAGAGACTCCGCCCGACCGCCGCAACGGGATAAAAAAAATTTTGAAAAAAAAATAATATTGGCATTTAACGTGACAAAACTTGAATATTTATTTTTTATTTTTTAGCCCCGGAAACCATCCTGCCCCCTTAAAGAAGATGAAGAGAGTTAACATCGGAGACTCGGTCCCTAGCAGTCTTAGTGTTGTTCCAGATACGCTGTGTGGCCGCAGTAGCAGTAGCCATCGTAATTTTTGCATTGTGATTATTAATTTACAGTGTAGTGTATTTTTCGATTTTTTGCACTAGTCATGAAAATAGGTAATGTGTGCTAGCAATTACAAGATATCGGCAAATTAAAAAAAAGCCTTTTCCCTTTTTGAATTGAATAAAATTTCAGCTATGCGTGTCTGCCACAAAAACAGTTCGTGAATACAAAATACAAAATTATAGATACCGAAGAACCAGAACATTAACCAGAACAAAACACCCTGCTCTGCAGGTTCCGCCGATGGAATTTACTTTATGAACTTAAATCAATGAAATTTATCAAATAAATTAACTTTTATTGCAAACTTCATAGTGAACGTAATTTAAAAATTACAAAGTTGAAAAGTAGTGAATAACTACTAAACAAATACTATTAAATAAAATTATATAAATTCATATATGTAACATTATTCAATACATCTAAGTAAAATATGCAATCCCTATGCTTATATTTAAATAGCTCGAAGTGGCAGAGTTGTAATCTAATCGAGACCTGGCCAGACTAGCCGGCGGCTATATAAGTAGAGCCTTCAGTTACCTCCGGACTTCTGACATGGAGTAGCGGCAGGTCAAACTAACGTTGCACGAGTCTCCTTAGTCCCACTAAACCAAGTGGAGTGGGCCTAGTGACCGACCAGAACACCTCGTCCTTATCGAAATCGACTCGTACAGAGTAAACAAGAAAGGAAGCAAGCTTCGGCAAGCCGAAGTTCATCTACCCTTGCAGCTATTGCAAAAATTATATATTATTGAAAACATTAATATGATTGACTTGCGTATATGTTTAAAACATTGAAGCTATGATGGTTTGCAGCTCAATTATTTGATAGTTCCTATGGCAGCTATATTATATCGTTTTCCGATTTTAATAAAATTAAAAGCGTAATTTTGAACTGTCAAATTAATAATTGTCTTATTTTTATAATTAAAGAATAAAAAAAAATTACAAAATAACAAATTAAATTTTTTTTTTATTGTTTTCATAAGAGCTACATGCTATAGTCCGGCTCGTTCCGACATATACTACCTGCAATAAAAAGACAACTTTTGGGAAAGTTTCATGCAGATGGCTTTAAAACTGAGAGACTAATTTGTGTAGAAACGGACGGACAGACGGACGGACTTGGCTAGATCGACTTTCCTAGTGATGCTGATCAAGAATATATATACTTTATAGGGTCGGAAACGTCTCCTTCACTGCGTTGCAAACTACTGACTGAAATTATAATACTCTCTGCAAGGGTATGAAAAAAAAGCAACGACACGTCATAGTGGCCAGGTTTGGGGAGCCGCGTTGTTCTCGTGTAAAAGTACCAATTGGCCGACTTTGAGATTAGGTTGTGGTGGACTGGTTCATTTGGCACGTTGCTGAAGAGTATGTAGATAGTCTCGACGAAATAGGTTCTAAAATGGCTGCTTAAGAAAGTTAAAGCGCTGGTAGCGTTGGTAGTTGATGCTCGTCTCCTCCGTGTTCCGTCTCCGTGTCCTTCAGAAGCTGAGGTCAGTTATGATCCAATAATGATGTGTGACGGGGACACCGCTTCTCCATCATTGCGATCGGTTGACGCTAGAGTGATTGGCCGCGAATCTCCGTGAGTGTTGTTCGTAGCACTTCAAACGTTAAATTGGCTTCGACCGTGTATTTCAACAGGTCTCCGAAGTGGTGCGCACGGGGTGGGATGAAACAAAATTCGACATCTTTAGATGCGCTGTACAGATGTTGGCTTTCTGCATTCAGGATTGCTTGTTTTAATTCCCACGAAGTTTATCCCATTGTCACAGTACACACGCTTTGGCAGACCTCGGCGGGATACGATATGTTTTGTATGGCGCACGACTGCGGAATTGATACGTCGTCATGAAAGGAACACAGAAGTCTACGCCTGTGATGAGAAAAGGATTCACTCCCTTAAAAGTAAGAGCAGCACCTTGGCTCCTGTGTGTGGAATTGTTTTGTACAAAAATTTTATCTAAAGTTGGGCGAATCAATGCAGTCGCGGTAAAAAAGCAGGCAACTTGGCATCGTACGGGATATTTCCATTGGCTTATCGCAACTCGAATAATGTTTTTAGAGAGCTCGTATGACTCAAGTTGTATTTCGTCTAAGGATGGGTCTAGATCCTGCAATCTGTTCTAAACATGCTATTATTTCTGTATAAGAGAGTTTATTATAATATAATGATTGCTGTATGTGTTCAATTACCCGTAAAAACAGAACGTTTATTTCTCGTGATGATTTATGGATATATGTTAGCTGGAACTCTATTAAAAAGGCGAAATATAAATGCTTTAGTTCGAATTGCTTGATAATAGGAGGATTAATTTTTAAGCAATTGATCTATGAGGCCGGGCTTCCTGACTTTCTCCTTGGTGATCGATGGCTGAGTAGTGTCTAGCTGACAATACTTTTCGTGTATGGTAAAAGATATTGCCTTTTTTGAATTTCAGGAATCGATTGAAGTGTCGTGGTGTGGCCAAAGTGTATAGTCCTCCTTCAAGAATTGAGTAAGGGGCCGCAACCCAGATAGTTTTTTGTAGGTTACTAATTCTGCAATCTTTCGACACCATTTCAGCTGGGTTCTGTGCGGAGGGCAAGTGTCTCCACTCAAATCCGTCTGGGGCTTGCTTAAGTTCCGATTTCCTACGAAACAGTTCAACTGAGAGGAATGCCTTTTCAACCATTGTAGTACTATTTTGGAATCGGTTCGCAGCAGTTTTTCAGCAATACGACTGCACATAGGAATTTTAAAACAAGTAATTTAGGAAGCGTTTGTACTTTAATTGGCACTACGCGAGATTTCGCTATTAGCAGATTGACTTCGATTCCTTGGGTCGTCGTCACTTGTATGTATATGCAGCATCCGCGAGCGCGTTCCGATGCGTCTGAGAAGCCATGTCCTTCGCTATCATTACTGAGTGATGTGTGCACGAAACGTGTAATTCTTTATATCTCCTTTATGTGTTTCCCACCTTAACCGGAAATTGCCTCTAAGGGCTCGTCCCAGTCAAATTTTAAAAGAGTAAGATTTTAAAGGAAAATTTAGCACCGGACAACAATCAGCCTTAAGGGATCGAAAATCTTTGCGATGGTCGATAAAACTGTTTTCCAAATCTGCACTACGTTGACGAACTCCTCGTGCTGAAACCTGAAAGTGTCCTGAATAGGCTTATACGATAATCCAAGCGCCTTAACTTTTTCTGGCTAGTCGAATTGAATCCTAATTTCTGATTACACTAACTCTGCCAAGCTTGTTGAGTTGTAATGGAATTTTGTAAACAAGAGACCCGCTCTATTTTGCATTTCTGTCAGCTGCCCCCTTTTGATTTGCAATTGACAAAGGTCGTCAGCACCGACAAGTACGTCATCCACCTATTGATCGGATTTAAGTACGCTGGCTCCGAACGGGAACTCACTCTCAAACGTGTCACTCGCCATATACACCTAGCTGCGAATAGCCAGGAACGTTTGCTATCAGTTGTGATTATCTTGTGCTTTGCTCAAGTTTTGATTTATTTCTGAAAGTACTGGTGTTTTTCTTTTAATCAAGCCTAGGGATTGTCTTATCCCTGTGCATTGTTATTGTATTTCATTTCTAGTGCATGCTTTGCCTAGAGTTTGTTTTTGTAACATTGCAAGAGAAACTCTCTGTAATATTTTATTCTTTCCCTCCCGCTCTACTTCGTGCGCCTTATCAAACAGTGTTTTATTTATTTTTTGCGCAATAATTTTCGATGGATTTATTCTTCTGCTGCTTCTGTGATACAATTACGCATGCTAAATGTGCTGGGTTCGTTGGAAGAGTAAGAGATTATATTGACCTGCGGACTGGGGTCAAGTGGTCATGTGAGTCATGCAGGGAAAGGAACATGAGACCTGTCGCTTTGTGAGACTGACTCGTGACGGTTTTAAGAATCTTTTTGGAGTATTAAAAAAAACTCACTGAAGCGTTCAACGCAATAAGTGAACAATTTAGAGGTAAAATTTGCTAAATGACTCACCTAATCGTAAAAAAACCGAGCCTATTAGTACGGGCGCTTCTTTAAATTCAGCTTCGAAAAAGACGGATTCCAATTCCAATTTTAAATACTTGTAATAGCTCTTTACCGGCACCCAGCTCATCAGCCCCTGTCACTGTAGAAGTTGTAGAGCAGGCCGGTGGATCAAAAGCTTTACAGCCAAATGTTCCCAATGGTACTGCGTACTCTGGAGTACTCCTTTCATCAGAAAGTCAGAGAAAAAATGTTCAATGTATTCAAGGTGTTGGTGGTGGTAAAAATGAACTCTCAGTTGTTCCCCATAGGAAAAAATTATTTGTTTCTCGATTTACACCCGAATCCAAAGTGATGATGTTATGAAACTTATTCAAGAAAAATACCCATTTCCAAACATTACAGTTGAACAATTTAAATTTTCATACGCTCTCAAGATATCCTCTTTTAAAATATCTGTTCCTCCAGAAGCTTTTTATGTTTTAAATATCACAAATTGCCGATTTAAGAGTCTGTTCCGAAAAACTGAAAACTTCTATACTTCTAGCCTATCTAAAATTTAAGAGTACTTAATATGAAGTTACCTTGGCTGTTCGCTGACTCCTCTGCCTTTAATGAACATATTTTAGTCTTCACAGAAACTTGGCTGAGACCGGAGATATCCAACTCCGAAGTTTTTTCAAACAACTTAAGCACTTATAGCTTATAGCACTTATAGCACTCGTAGGGGAGGTGGGGTGCTTATTGCTATTAACTCCAGTCTTACATCGGAGATAAATCAGCCCCTTACACGCTTTATACATTTTTGTTACCTGTTCTTATATACCCCTGGGTCTGACATTTTAATTTATACACATCATTTGTTCACTATTGAATCTGTTTTATCTCTATTTTCTGACAAGGATCATTTGATTGTTTTGGGAGATTCTAATCTCCCAGATATGTCTTGGTCATCTCCTACTGACTCACTTGTTTGCACGTCTTTGTCGGGCCCTGACATTGTAGATGGACTTTTATACCTATCATTACTCTTTAAATAGATAATTAGATCTGGTATTTGTTTAGAATACGTCTGAGGTAGGTGTATCTAGAATTGACCCTCTAGTTGTCCCAGGGCACCGATACCAACCTACAATGGCATTGACAATATCCACACCGGCTGAAGGATTTTCCTTAAAAAATCAAAACGAAGAACAGCTGTTCAGAAATGTCTGTGAAGTGTAACATTTTAAAACATAGCTCCGGTCGCGTGTAGACGTGTATTCTTAAAAAACAATTAGTCACTCAGTCGAAATCGTTCGAAAAAATATAAACGCGAGGTTTTTCGATTCGCGATGCTAATTCGCATATCGTAAACTAAAGTTTTAATTAATTAATTAATTTTTACGCACTAACAATAAACAAATGTGTAAGAACGTGGATCAGCGCACTCAACGCCAAAAACAACAAGACGAAGCCCGTGAAAAAAAACTCAGAGAGAGCAAGACAAACGTCGTCTCTCCTTGGCCCGTACCAATGATTATTTCTCTAGAACCGAAAGTGAAAGAAAGTGCAAGATTACTGACCGCCGAAAACCAGAGAGCTAGTACTTGCTCTGCCGCCCTACTTTTCACCGCTCAAACGCCATGGAGTGAGCAATGCAAAACTCCATCCGAGCTTCTGCCACCTAGTGCAACATCAACAGCGACTACTACGTCAACTACAACGGTCTCTGTCGCCAACAATGCAA